GGCGCCCAAGCGTCTCCTCAGCGCTGCCCGGGGCCGGGGTTTTGAGGCAGCGCTGCCTCGGGGGCTTTTTTTGGACTCGCTTTTGGGGTGCGAGTTCCCGCCCGGGTGCGTGGCCGCAGGGCAGGGCGGCGCGGCGCGGCGCGGCTCGGGGTTGTCTCTTCGCTGCTGAGCGCGTAGTAAGTCAAGCTGGGGAGGGAGGGGGTCTTAGAGGTTGCCAGGGTCCCCTCAGGTTACCGTTTTTTCTAGCAGCCATGTGGCAAACTGGTTAAAGTGAATTTCTCTTTTACTGAAGTTGATTCCTGAGCGGCCATGAATAACGTAGAAATTAAAGGGTAACAAACTCAGTCTTTACATGCATAGGGACATTGATATAGCGGAAGTGGCACCTGTGATGCTGTAGTGAAAAGGTAGATGCAAAAGACTTGAGAGAAATCATATGTTTATAAAATCGAGCAATGTGACTTAAAAGCTATCCTAACTTGTTCAAGTTAGATCATGTATGTTTCCTTCATTCTTTCCAAGGGTGGTTTTTTCTTTTTCTTTTTTCCTCCCCTCTAGCCAAATATTCTAGCTGATGATCCAAAAATTGAGATGCCCAATAAGTCTCGCTGACTCCAAAGCCTGGCTTTTTAAGCAGGAACATCTCAATCTACTGTTTTTATGTAGTAACATTGTAAATGGTCTGAACAATGGTGTTAACTCTTTTCTTATGGTAATATCCAGCCAGGAGAAAGAGGCTGCTGTGTATGTGTGGTAACGTTCAGAAGTACTGATGAGAAAGAGCTTTTTTAGTCTTTGGTAATGGCTGTATTTGAATAAAATCATGCCTGATCTTTAGAAAAAGGAATTACTATTTAGCGTTTCCGTGAAATCATCCCAGAAATATTCTGTCAGTCACCTGTGCCAAAAATATTATGACACTTATTACCTGTGTGGGTTTTTTTGCTACAATTTTTGTCTTCATTGAAGGCAAAATACTGACATTGTATTTCCAAATCTCTTTTGCATTATCTCTTGATCCCAAATTGAGTAACAACATTATAATGAAAATTATAATTTATTTATCCTTTTGCTGAATTGATGTAGCTCGAAGGTAAAAAGAAGTATTTAGGCAAGTCCTATCTACATGTAGAGTTTTCATACAGGAAGTACTCATTTTGTTATACAGTGAATTGGTTACTTTGACAAAATAATGTTTTTTAAAAAGGATATTTTAAAGTATGCCTAATGTGCTCAGAATCTGTAATTATGCCTGTGACTCCACAGTTATTCTTTATTTCGAGGTAGAATACTACTTATTTCAGCGAATGTCAGAGTATTTGGAATATTGAGTAAAAGAGGAAGTAATTGTGTTATGCCACAGGGGAAAACATTTGATTAAAAACGATACTACTCACCTTCAGATTTCTGAGTGATCTGGTGAAATCTCTGCAGTACTGCAATGTTGTTTGCAGTAGGTACTTATATTGCAAATAAAAAATTTATGAAGTGAACTAAATTTCTGCAGAAAAACAAATAAATTAAGCCAATAATTTAGTTTTTATTATAATTATTCTGAAGTTAATTAGGTCCCTGGTCATTATTGTGACTGTCCTAACATAGTCTTACCTAACTTCTGTATCAAATGAAAGGTTATCAAAGTAATGCTAATTTAAAGTTAGTCAGAAACTTGTAAAGATCTTCTGTTTGTGGTAGTTTTTACTGAGAATGTTGCTTAGTGTTTATGTATACAGTAAAAGTTTCTAAGGGAGATTTGGACGGAGGTAGTGGGCTAGGAAAGATCGTTTAGAGGTGGAATGCAAAACAAGCCACTTCTGGACTTCCAATCTTTATGCCAGACCTATTTTGCAGATGTGATGGACTGTTTCTCATATACTCAGTAAACCATACTCTGGAAGCAATGACCTAGTAATTTAGGATAACGCTAATGAGACAAGTTTTCACTTCCTCTTCCATCCCTACTGTTTCAGATTATCAGAATTGAATTTCCAGAGTTCAGTCCTAGAACTGAATTTACCTGAACTGTTCCTGGTGTTGATTTAAAATAACACAACAATTTTTTTCTTTTCCTCTTTTTATTTCAAAGCAATTGGGAAGTCATGCAGACTATAATTTGTTCCTCCAAATTATAAAATTAATGCAATGTGCATCTTTTCTATATAGAACAAGTGAGTGTGATATGTGAAATCGTGTGCCATGAGTGTGGAGAGGATTTGTCGCACTCTATAGCTGCACTAGATTTGATGTGGATTGAAGAAAAGGATGATTTAAACAGTTATATAAAGTCTTCATTGCGATAAGTTTTAAAAATATATATAAAATTCTGTTTGATTTTAGAAATGACAGTAAGTTACTAGAGAAACGATTAAAATAATTTAGTTTAAAAAGTCCCTTTCATTTAGGCCATTAATGTGTGCTTCTGTTTAAAGGTGATGGTAAAAAGATTTAACTTTTGTTTTTGCAGTTAGTTTATTTTTTAAGTCAGTCCTGGGAATTTATAGATGTTGAGAGTTAAGGGCAGATAGCAGAATTTAATTGTGCAGTTAGCTGTTGACAGGGCTGGTCCTTTTCCAGCATCAGAGAGATTTCTATTTTTTCCTTGCTCTAGTGGAGTCCAGAGAGTCAGTTCTGTAATAAAAAAAACTTGCTTTCATGTGTACCTTTTAAAATTCTTGCTTGCTGATTCCTTTTAGTAGTCAATGGGAAAGATTGTTTACTTTTTTTGTTTTTCTGTTTTCTCTGTGCAACCAATGAAAAGGGAGTGATAATCTGCAATTGTCTAGTCCAAAACATTGAAGTGGTCTAGTTGATCCTAGTGGGCAAAATATCTAGGGTAAAAGAAAAGGTTCATTTCTTAAGATGATTGTTGAACTATTGTTAGTTAAGAGTTCTTTTTTATTAAAATTTCTTTCCAGATGTCAACTGAATGCAGATCCGATGTATTAAAGAAGTATTATCTAGCAGATTGCTTTCTAACAGTAGAAATGAAAACACTTATTACCTGAGTAAACGTATTATAAACTATATATTTAAATGTTTTAGATATAATGCATCTTATCTTTTAGCATAATTTTACTTTCTCTCTCCCTGCTCCGCAACCCTCATGGTATTAGGTTTTTAATTTTGGAGCAATTACTGGAGGCCTGATGTTCCAAGCAAGATTACAGTTGATTACCTAAATCAAGATTTCTTTTTTAATGGTTAATATCTGTTTGCCTTCAGAAGCAGGGTAGCTCATTTGGCAGACATGAAATTCCTACATGAATCTGGGTTTTAATTTATTATAAAAATAATATAGCTTTCCTGTTGGAATTTGCTGTGCACCAATGTGTCTTAGTCCTTGCACTCAGTCCACCTTGTGTCTTTCCAATGGTAAGCTACAGGTGTGAGTTGCACGTTGAGCATCCCATAATGAATTGCTTCCAAGGAAATGTAAACGTTCATGAAATACGAAAGCATTGTGTCTTCACATACAAGACTTTTTATAGAAAAATAGTACTAAAAAACACATATACCACTTATTTATTTTCTTCCTTCAAAAGTTTGATTGCTTTATACATTCATATTTAGTATGATGACCGATGTTAGAAACTGAATGACCATATCATACCTCTTTGTCTCTTCCCCCCCCCCAAAAAAAGCCACATAAGTAAAAAGTCAGTGAAAGCATCCAAGTATTTACTTTGTATCTTAAATTGAACTGTATTTGATAAAACAGAATGTATGCTCCATACTTGCTGCTTATAAACACTTGGTAAAGTTGTTTGGTATATAAGGATCTCTGTATAATCTATCATGAGATCACTGACTCAACTTTAAGGCTCACAAAAGGAGCTTAAGAGGTTTTTAGTGGGAATTTTGTGGTGGGAACAAGATTGTTCCCTCAAGGAAAAGATAATTCTGAGCGACTAAAGTCACTAAATCCTCTCTTTCTCTAGGGTGACTTTCTCAAGAGAGAATAGCTTTTACTGAAAGCAGCAGGGTAATGTTGGCCAAAAGGATTTAAAAAAAAAAAAAAAAAAGCGCTTAGCTCCTTCAGTACTCTGAACAACCTCATTTTTTCTTGAAGCCCCTAAGATGATAAAGAATTATCGCATCTGTTTTGGAAGAAGTGGTTTTATGCTTTAAACTTTTCCTGTTGTTTTTCCTATTGTCTTAAAATCCTGAGGGTTCTACCTCCTCTCTGTTTTTTATTTTCCTGGACCAACTGCATAGCTGTTCCTGCACTGTAGAGTTTTTGATTAGTATTCTGTAACTGATGAGAGAGTTAGATGGGCTTTCTACATCAGCTGGTGGACTACTTTTGTTGATTATATATGCAGAGGCCTCCAAACTCTATACCATAATGTCTCTGAAGTCAAAGTGAACTGAATGGTACTCTTCTGCTTAGGCTCATTAGTTTTCTCTTGCATTTCTTCCCGTGCTGTGTGACAGTGCCATCCACTCTGCCATGACAACTTACAGGCTAGGCTTCACTCTGGAGCGTATGAGCTTGGCATTTTTATCTCTGCTCACGAGTGGAGATTAGTGCCCATACCCCTGCATGGGGGTTTATACCCAAGTATGTATGTGTTATGCAAACGTAACATGCACAGCAGGGATAATACTGTCTAATAATGCCTGGTGGTGGCTAAATTCACCATCTAGGGAATTCAGAAATGGCCTGAACAGAGATTTGAAATCAGTTTTCAGGTTCTGGTACGTGGTGCCTGAGATGAAATTTTTAATTTGGTAGTAGAAAAGTGCAAACAGTTTTATCTGAGGCTGAACTGACTGACCGTAGAAGCATCTGTTACTTGTGCATCTTTTTGGTTTTCATAGCCTTGAACTGCATGGTGGTTCGTAATGGAAAAGTGCAAGGAAATATTTAGTGCATAGTAAATTGAGATGCATGGTTCAGAGCAGAGAACTTATTCTGGCTAGAAATAAAAATAGACACAAAACTAAGTGCTTCTGGAATGGAGCTGAAAACTAACTAACTTTGCCTGGCTGTCCCATAGAAATGTTTAATATAGATCACCTGCTTGATTTGTTATTATTTGCCTGAGTCAGTGTGTGAGCAAGCAATTTATCCTGTGCGTGGGGAAAGAAATGGAGGTAGGAAGGACACTGTTACTTCCTAACCTGAAATATCAGGAGTGCTGTAGTACAGAGATGCTAAGTTGTCACTAAACTTATGGTAATGTAGACTTGTGGCCTGCTAATGCATGGTAGTGCTATAGAAGTGACTTTTTTTCTCTCTTAAATGCCTTTAATATTTTTTGAATAAATAACCTATTTTATAGCAGTAGTCATCTGAAGATTGCTTGTATTAAAGCATGTCTGCTCCCAAGGATAGTTTTATATAAAATGAGTCTTATCTCTGTGTTTACAAATATTACTGTACTTTCATCTTTAAATGTAGTATTTGTGAAGCAGCAGCACTATATTAATTTGTTCATCATGCAAAAATGTCTCTTTCCCCCTTTTACTGAGAAATACATTTTAATTACTTAGTCAACACCTTAAAAGCTGAATCACAAAAATCCATATCTTTGGTACATGCAGTTTTGTTCTGTGTTATCTTTTTAAGGAACGTGAACTATTTGGAAAGGCTTCAGATTGTGCGAAAAAGATGTTTCCTTTAAAAGACACTGAGATGGGTGCCTCCACTTTCTTCGCCTCTGCTCTGCCACATGACGTTTGTGGAAGTAACGGCCTTCCTCTGACACCCAACTCCATCAAAATTTTGGGGAGATTTCAAATCCTTAAAACAATCACCCATCCCAGGCTTTGCCAGTATGTTGACATTACCAGGGGAAAACATGGTGAGTGTCATGTTTTATGTTTGTTTACGGTTACATGTTTTTTTAAATATGTCTGAAGGCAACTGAGCAGAATATTGCACCAGTTAAAGAAGGTGGCTGGCTTTCACTCTCAAAATGATTGCGTGCCTTTGCTGCGACTGGCAGTACTGTTACTTTTGTTTCTTCCGTACGGAGTCAAGGTGGCAGTTGGTTATCTGTCTGTTCTCTTTTGTTATAAGTTGTGCTAATTAATCAATAGAAGCTGGAGATTTTCTTTCTTGTTTTTCTTCCTCACTGCAAAATTCTCGTGCTCAAATACTGCATCATATCTTTGTGTAGGACACTGAAATAGATGCATCTTTGATGCTGAGCTACTATACCTTATTTTTATCTTGTGAACAATTTCATGTGACGGTCAGGGTCTCCTATGCTTATTTGCAACTGTTCTTGTTGCCTCAACCATCTCAAGTCTTGGCTGCAAGCTTTACCTTTTTTTTCCCCTCCAACTTTTGCTGTTCAAGATCTCTCTCAGTAACAATTACTTTATTCAGGTATGGAGATTTTTTTAATAAATGTTTTCACACTTATTGTTAACTCAAGTAAGGTTTCAGTTGTTCTTTCTACTCATGATGATCTAACTATTGCAAGCTCAGCAGGAGTGGAGCACTTAACTCCCACAAAATAACTGCAACACCTGTGGCAGAATTTAAGTGGTTATTAGCTTTACTTGTAAATCCAACAACATTCTCTGTACAAAAATGCATTGTCTTTATCTGGTAAGCTACAGGATCTCATAAAATATCACAGAAAACTTTTTCTCTTTATAATGTAAAATGATAGGATGTTTCAGATTTTTAGAAAATTGTGCAATTACTAACCCCAAACACTCTGAAGTGCTCTGAGTGGGGCAGGAGGGAGAGTGATTTCTTTGTGCGTGTTCATTTGCTCTCACACTTGTACGTTTTTTTTGTATTCTGCAGCCATTAGATCTAGAAAGTTTCTTCTTTTTCATGTTGTGTTAACTGGGGACTCTTCTCTGACACAGAAATTAGATTTTTTTTTAACAACACTTTTTGAGCTGAGAGATTAAGAAATACTAGACAACATAGCACTCAGGAAATTGGAGATACATTTAAGTGGGAGAATTTGGCCTTTTTGACAGTTAAGATGTCTGTGACATAAAGGTTTTTTAGTGTGTATAAATATGAATTATTTTGTGATAATTAAAATAGCTTTCAGGATAGTAATTAAAACCTCTGAATGTGAAGCCATGAGAAAGTTTTCTTTGTAATGATCGGAATAGTAGTTAATCACTTTCAAATAAAATGGCTTTTCTTACTCATGCAGTCTCAACACTGATGCCAGATTTTATGGTTCTGGTACTGGGAGAGTTCTGCACTCACTGATCCCAGGAATAGTGACTTGATGTTATTTTTCTTGCAAATGTCAGTTTCTCTACTTGTGGAAAAAATAAGGCAGTCTAGAAAAACAAAGACGTCTAAGCTGTGTGCATTCCTCACCCCTGCCCCAAAAGACCTTCAAAAGGGGAAAATAAAAGTAACAGAAAAAACATTCAAACCAAAGTCTAATTTTTATTTGTTAAAATTTTTATTTGTTAAAGTAATTTTATTTGTTAAAGTTGTCTAATGTTTATTTGTTAAAATGTATTTATTAAAATTGAAGTCTAATTTTTATTTGTTTTATTTGTTAAAATGGTATCTTTTATAGCATTGAAGAGGACAGTCCTATTCTTTTTCCAAAAAAGTTTAAGTGGTCCTTTGACTTTGAAAGTGAAAACCAAAATGTTGGGTAACAAGTGTTCCAGTTTTTGTGATGACTTTTATTCCTCAAAGTATTTTCCGTCTTTATGTTACTGTAACAATCTCCTTATAAAATCATATTTTTAATTGAAATAGTGGTGTTTAATTTAGTTTGGTTTTGAATCTGAATACTTACTACCAGCTGTTCTATGAGCAGCAGCAATAACAAAGCACAGCTTCTTTAGGAGTTATCTTACACCCCCCGGTCTCTCCCTACTTCCCCTTACAATCCCTATCCTCACTACAACAATCCTTTTCTCTCTTCCTCCATATTCAGAGCCAGCCAGTCAATATCTGGAATATGTAGTATTCCTAAAAATCCTGTAACTATTTACTGGACAAGAGGTACCAGACCCAGCAAGGTGCTAGTTGACAAATCAAGACTAAATCCCGTGCTCACTCTGCATCCGCTGTCTCAAAGTTGATGTTACTTTGGTTGCCTCTCTCATCAACCCAGCCACAGATTTCTGCAAATCTGCTTATCTTTGAAACCTCTAGTCTAAATTATAACTGGTTGACACTGGCTGAGGGGTTCAAAACTTACTAGGAGGGGACTGGATGGATACGTTGGCAGCACTTTTTCCTAAAGAAACAGGGTAAAGATCTGCTTTAGTCAGATAATCTGCTTAATCCTTAATACTAATTATTTATAATCTTCCATGCAATGTGTGACAAAATACTTTACCATCTGCCAAATAGGTAGCTTGGGAAGATTGTATTCCAAGTGTCTCACCTGGATTCGAATCCTTTTTTCCCCTCCAATCAGAGAGGCTGGTTGTGGCTGCTGAACACTGTGAAAAGAGTCTAGAAGATTTGCTACGAGAAAGAAAGCCAGTCAGGTAAAGTGTCAAGCTAAACTTGGATCCAGTGACCAAAATTTCAGATGTCTGTGGCAAAGTCCTGGAGCTTTTTTTAGCTACTTTTAATGGTTCTTATAAATTTTACTGTATTAATGTGAAAATTTAACCTAAAACGGTGTTTATTAGACAAACACATGCTTGGAAGAGGGAATATTTATTTCTGTACAATTCAAAAAACTGGAGGATACAAGGGAAACATTTACAACTGAAGTACTTTGTAGATCATAAAATCCTGTCTTTTTTGTAATAGTAGTTTGGGCTTTCTTCTTAAGAATAAAGTTAAATCTATGACAGGATCAAGAACTTCGTAAGAATTAATTTGAAGATTATATGTCTACCAGATGATTAAATATAACTTTCACTATAAGGGAGAAAATTTGGTGCATGTTTTTCAAATGCAGAAGTCTATTTGCTTATTAACTAGGAAGCAGAGAGGATGTCAGGTACATACACTAGCATGCTAATAAACAATTTGAATCAAGTTGAGGTAGTCAGTTCAGTGAGGCTTCAGTCAAAGGCCAGATGTCAATAACACTGGCTTTCCTACTAGGATGTACGGAATAGTTGACCTGTACCTTTAAAAATATAAATAAAAAATCAGACTTGCTGCTAAAAGTTCTAACTGTAATTTTAAATAAAACCCATGTATTGTCCTGTTACCTTTGGAGCAAAGAAGTGCTAAAGAATTTATAACCCCAAAAATGTAAAGAGTGAAAGAAAAGAAAATTATCTCCGTCTGGGATAGCAAGGCATTATAGATGGACATACCTTATTATTTCCAGAACACAAAAATGTATAAATGTAAAACATGTTTAGAGAAATCCAAAGACTCTTCACGCAGTTTCTGAGAAGTTTATAGCAAGCAGTAAATTTCATACTCTCTTGATATTAATGTAAGTGTAGAGAAGATGCTTATTCAGTAAAACGCTTGTCAAATTTTACATGTCTTCCCAAATAGTGATGAAATTTCAGAGGGACTAAGTATGAGGGAAATTACATTTAAAAGATGCAGCCACTCATGTTCTTTGTTAGTATTGGTCCTTACAGATACTGCAGTAATGCTTCTGTTAAAATCTTTTGATAGAGATCATTAAAGCGACAAAGAACTACTGAAAGTAATAGATAAAAACACATTCAACAGGCATTGCAGGTGAGCTACGTTGAATAGGATACTATCCTGATAAACTTCCTGTGACTCATCCCAAATTAGATTTGTATAAATGGAGTAATATTGAATCTATAGTGTTTTGAGTCTCGCAACCCCTAAATAGGATACCAACAATGTTATCTGGCACTGATAACATAAAATGCCTTGTGCTCGTATGTTAGCTTTTTGTAAACTTTAGCTTGTATTGGAGAAGTGATGCTGGTCAGTATGAAATCTCTACTTGTGAATCCCAGTGAATGCTGCAGTGCAATATGTCTTGAGGAATGTTAGGCAAATATGGCTACTATTTTCTCTTCAAATAAAGAGGTATCTAGAGATGATATGTAAAGGACTTTTCGTATGTGATATATATTACAGTCCTTCACATGGTTTTGCATCAGGTTCCTGTTGTGCAAAGTTCCAGAAATAGTTAAAGCATCAGAAACTCTTTTCTTCTCTTTTTCATTCAGCTCTCCCACTGCTCTTCGAACATGTGTATCTTGGTGTCAATGAGAAGCAGGCCAGACTGTCTGCGGTCTCTTGACTGTTTTTGAAAAAGCATGCATGTAGCTGTTTTAATTTGCTTTGAATTGCTTGATAAAGTGTACTTACATAGATTCTCTAACAACTTCTATTGCGATTTAGTCCTGCAGGCGTAGAATTACCTGCGTAACCAAAGGGTAAAGATGTCTTTTTCTGGAGACAAATTTCATTCTTTCTCTCAAAATGTAATAAAAGAAACATTCTCAGATAACAGATTGTGTGTGTAGCTATCGTGCTTCTCTGTAGCAGCAGGTGTTTTGTAGCATCCAGAAAGGTTTTTGAGACCTTTTCAGGTGAGTTGCTGTGGCTGTGGAACTTCAGTTTGTTGACGTGCCAAGAGAAGCTACTCACTTTGTGACAGTTAGCTATTTTGGCTGAGGCTCTGTTGCAAGTGGATAGCTAAAGCTTGGCTTTCTTTTTAACTCTTGACTTGAGAAAGTTTTCACTGAAATAATTTATTCTACAATTTTTCCTTTTTTTAATGAGCTGACTGGAATTTTGAAAAAACTTTCTGAAAAGAGAGTTTGTAACACCTAGAACGGAGGGCTAAAATGTGGCCTGTATGTTCTTAGCTTTGAGAGACATTAGTTTTTCATCTACTGTGAATTACAGCCTTTGCAGTAGTAGTTAAAAGATAAGTTATGTTCACTTCAAGTTTCTTGCAAGACTGACATTTTCCTTCTACTTTCTTTTTTTCCTTAAAGCAGACGGTTTTCTTTCTTTTGTGAGACCCATAAATATCCAGAAATAACTTGGATGGGCCAATTCCCAGTTATCTGTTATCTGATCTGTCTATATCAGTTACCTTTGGAAGGAAGTATTTGGCTTTTTCCATATATTCTAATTCTGTTATTTAGTGATAGCAAAGCTGGTTACGCATCCAGGATTGATGTGTATGCTATTGCAATTAATTTCATAAGCTGTGTATGGAATGTGAGAAGCTGCTCTTCTGGTTTCTAGATTAATTTTCCCTATGTTTGCCAGAAACTA